GCTGGCTGAGGAATTCTGGGAGTTGAAGTCCACAAGCTTTGCTGGCTGAGGAATTCTGGGAGTTGAAGTCCACAAGCTTTGCTGGCTGAGGAATTCTGGGAGTTGAAGTCCACAAGCTTTGCTGGCTGAGGAATTCTGGGAGTTGAAGTCCACACGTCTTAAAGTTGCCAAGGTTGGACACCCCTGCTCTAACTGTTGCAGAGGTGATACTCAGCCGGTTCTGGAGAACCGGTAAGTGAAGATGTTGAGTAGTTCGGAGAACAGGCAAATCCCACCTCTGACCGGAGATTTTACAGTATTCTTTCCCCTGCCACGCCCACAGAACCAGTAGTCAAAAAAATTTGAATTCCACCAGTTAAGCGGTTGGTGGGTGTCCGAAAGTCAATTCAGCCTCATGGTCAACTCATAAAACATTTCTATGCCCATTTTAGAGTTGCTAACAGAAAGGGAGGGCGCGGAAAGGAGGTTTGAAAAGAGCAGCACGGCTGCTTGGAAATCGAAAGTGCATTCCATGCATAGTTTTTTCAGAGATTTATAACTAGGGGACTGAAGTTTCTGCCCCGCAAAAAATTAATTGTGGAGAATTTGATTGATGACTCTTGGCTATGGATGTGTCCCGTTGGAGAATATAAATTATGATATACACCCAGGGGGTGGGGAAAACCAGGGTCAAGGGTGACAGTGAATTATGTGTCTCAGAGTCGGCTACACCCAGACAGTGCCAATATATTAACTCCCAAATAAATTCTGTTTAGTTTTGGAAGTTTGGCTCGAGACTCATGTTTTAATTGGGGTAACTGCCAGAATTCTGACACCCATTTGGTAGCAAGTTACATCAAGGGAACCGTTCAACTTTTCAGTTCATTAAATCAAAGGTGCAACCATTCTTCTTTTTTTGAAAAGTGACCTGAATTTCAAGTCATCTCCTTCAAAACGTGGGAAACGAGACACCTTTAAATCGGAAGTCCCTATTTATGATCCCGCTGCCATTAAAAAAAAAGAAGAAGAAATGAACTCATTGGCACCCTTCAGACGTTCCTTCGCCTGGCGCCACATCAGTTGTGCCGATTTTTGGCTCAAGACAATTCCCAAGGAGCTCGGTCAGCCACGGTCGGCTTTAAAACCGCGGTGTCCGACGGGAAGAAAATCCAGTTTTGTGATTCAAGTGGAGATCCTGCTGGGCGTGGGGAAAATCCCCTCGTTTCCTCGTTTCTCGGGAGAGTCCGTGTTCTCCCGGTCGTCCATTCCCACGATGTAACACTGGGGCAACATTTCTTCCAGCAGAATCCGAATTAACAGCGGATGAGAAACGGAAGGCAGGTTGGAGACATCCAAGCGTTCCAAATTCCTGCAAGGGAATGAATGAGAGGGTTTTTTTTCATGGCTTCCACGGACCCTCTCCCCTTCCTCGGAAAAGGGTGAGCCTGCCGTTTCCTGATTTAATTTTTTGTTTCTAGCCTGCCTTTAATTGTTTTTCCACAATAGCTCGAGGCGGTAAAGGTACCTAGCAAAATGACTTCTTCCTAATTTCTCTGCAACAACAACCCTGCAAAGTGGGCTGAGCTAAGAAAAAGGAATTGGCCCAAAGCCTACCGAGTCAGATTTCATGCCCAAAACGGGATTAGAACTCACAGCTGAGAGGTGGGTTGGGCTGAGGGAGAGGGACTTGCATAAGGACACCAGCTGGCTTTTCTGTCAAAGGCGGGACTACAACTCCCTGCCTCCTGGTGATTGGCCCAAAGTCAACCAGCTGTCTTTCATGGCTAAGGCGGGACTAGAACTTCCTGTCTCCTGGTGATTGGCCCAAAGTCACCCAGCTGTCTTTCATGTCTAAGGCGGGACTAGAACTCCCTGTCTCCTGGTGATTGGCCCAAAGTCACCCAGCCAGCTTTCATGCCTAAGGTGGGACTAGAACTCCCTGTCTCCTGGTGATTGGCCCAAAGTCACCCAGCCAGCTTTCATGTCTAAGGCGGGACTAGAACTCCCTGTCTCCTGGTGATTGGCCCAAAGTCACCCAGCTGTCTTTCATGTCTAAGGCGAGACTAGAACTCCCTGTCTCCTGGTGATTGGCCCAAAGTCACCCAGCTGTCTTTTATGCCTAATTGGTAATATTTAGCCTCTCCCTCAACTTGATGTTTCTTCCAAAACTTTCAAAAGCCAAATATCAGAGCCCAGCTTGGACTCGTGGTGAAGGTACCAGGCTAGAAGCCAGGAGATGCTGAGTTCTAGTTCTGCCTTAGGTATGAAACTGGCTGGGTAACTTTGGGCCAATCACCAGGAGACGGTGAGTTCTAGTCCTGCCTTAGGTATGAAAGCCCACTGGGTGACTTTGGGCCAATCACCAGGAGACTGGGAGTTCTAGTCCCGCCTTAGACATGAAAGCCCACTGGGTGACTTTGGCCCAATCCCTAGGAGGCTGGGAGTTCTAGTCCCGCCTTTGGTAGAAAAGCCAGCTGGTGTCTTTATGCAAGTCCCTCTACCAACCCACCTCTGAGGGTGAGGAAAACAGGATGAAATTGTGTTGGATATGTCAGCCCCCTCGAGTTATTTGTGAAAATAATAAAAAGGTGGGGTGCAAATAAATAATATAAATCTCCCAGGGGCACCAGACTGTACCCCCTCTGGCTCACAGACTTGAGTTTATGCTGGAAGAATTCAACATCCAAGCGGAGTATGTTGTAGTGGCGGCTAAAGCATGGGTTGGACTACATGACCTCTAACGTTCCCTTCCAACTCAAGGATGCGAGGACTCACGCCACCGTCGACGCCGCCTGGAGAAATTCCAGCTCTGCTTTCCTCTCTTTTCCCAGCCCTGGGGTGAAAGAGACCCTCCTGCTACACGGCCGCGCTTACTGGAGGTGGTGGAGGCAAGGCAGCCCTTTCTCCGTGATCCGGGAGCAGCCGGCCAAAGACAAGGTCTGCAGGGAGTCCGCAAAGGGGTGCAGCAGGCTCAGGCACCAGTTGTCGACGAGGGGGCATCCGCTCAGGTCCAGGTGCTTCAGACCTTTCAGGTTCGCTGTGGGGAGGGATCCAGGCGGAAAGGAGATTGGGACACGGGCACCAAAACCAACGCACAACCCACCCACCCCCTGAGCCTCCGGGAAACGTCTGCGATGCTTTGCGTTAAGCGGATGAGATATACGAGGCAAAAGTTGCACGTGGCCCCGTCACTCACGTCGGGGAGAAGCGTGAGGTGTAATGAAAGCGGACGGGGCATCGATTGTGCATGTGCGCTACGCCGCCCGGCTAGGGTTGGCGTAGTGGCTGTGGGTGCCGGACGGGGAGGGGAGAGGCCAGCACCTTCAAGTCTAACCACCCGCCCAGCCCGGCTGTGAAAGTTTAGCAAGTGAGGTCTGAGCGCACAGGCGCTGCCGGCCATGGGAAAAAAAACGGGAATCTGCTACGTAAGCGCCCCGAAAAGGAAAGCAAGGTGTAAAATGGATTCATCCAAAGACGGGGGGAGAGAGAGAGAGAGAGAGAGAGAGAAAGAGAAAGAGAATGGGGGAGAAGGGAGGGGGGAAGGGGAGGAGGACCAGAAGGGGAGGAAAGGGGAGGAGGGGTAATGAGGAAGAGGGGGAGGGAGTGGAGGAGAGGAGGAAGAGGAGGAGGGGGAGGAAGAGGGAGAAGAGGGAACGGAGAGGGGGAAGAGGAGGAGGGGAAATAAGGGAAGGAGGAAGAGGGGTGGATGGGTAGGGGGGAGGAGAGGAATAGGGGAGGGGCGGGAGGAAAGAAGAAGTGGAGGAATGGGGAGGGGGAGAGGGAGGAGAGGATGGGCAGGGGGAAGAATGAGGAGAAGGGGGAATATGGGGAGGAGGAGGAAGAGGGGCAGGAGGAAGGAGTGGAATGGCGGTGGGGGGAATATGGGAAGGAGATGGAAAGGGGAGGAGGAAGAGGAAGA